CGTCCGTCCGTCCGTCCGTCCTTTCGTCCGTGTATGTTTGTGGGCTAATGTGTCGGTATCCAGGCCTGCCTGTGATTTCAGCTTTGTCTTCTGCTTATCGTTTTCCCGACCCTTCAATCGGCCCTTTCCGGCCAGACCTACAAACATCTCGCCAATGTTTGCTTTTTTGTCTCTTCCCTTCACTCATCGCAATATTTCAATCTATCTTCTGCTCATCAACTCGTCAGAACATTTACTATTGTCGGAGAAGCCGACACAAATCATATGCGTGCAGAGCAGTTGAGCTTCTAGGAGCCCATTAACAAATGCATGTGTTCATACTCTTCATTTTGTCTGGAAACAACGAGCATAGGCTGTTGGTGAACTGGCCCCAGCGACAAAAAAATTGGGGAAAAGATGCTATGCCTCTGCCACAAAACGCGTCAAATGAAAGTAGACTTTGCTGACTAAAACTCGTATTAAACATTTAATTATAGTACTACTTTCTATGAATATAAGTAATGCGGTCAATGGTAATAGTAAAATACAAGTTTGCCTTATCGATACTCTCACTAATAAAGTGAAATATACGATTGCCCCGTGACCCGGGCACAATTGTGGTTGGGTTACGGGCTGGTCGGAGGTCGAGTGTATACGCTGAACTACGCGTGTTCGAGTTCCGTCGGCGGTTTCGACCGTATGCCAGTCTAGTCTGGCTGAGAATGCCGTCAAGGGAACAAGGAAAAATTCAATCTTCAATTCATCATCATATTGTGCAACATAGTGTGAGTATAACTCTTGGTACTTGTAGAAAAACTCTCAAATCACACATTTTTGTCATAGCTGACCCCCAGCGCCACCAATTTGGGCTCTTATTGGATCATTTTTGCCGGCTTGCCAACGTTCACAGAGACACAAGTCGTCGAATGGAGAACATAACATCAGTACAACCCTGAAACTAGTTCAAAGTGTTATTGTCGAGACTCTTCTTTCGCATGACAAGGTATGACGAAGAGATTCGTTGATCGAGCTCACCGGAAGACGATGGCAGGTTCCCGTTGATATTCTTGACCCATTGTTAATTTGAGACTTGCAAGAATTCGTTTTAGCTCAGATGGTATCCTTCATATGATGGACGAATATTCAATCCAGCTTCATCCGAAACAAAGAAGGATGCCCCGTAGACGACGTCAATATGGACGTGGTATTAAATTCAAACAGCCGCAGAACGACGAGAATCAACCGTCATCCTCCTGTGGAATCAACTAATGAATCTTCTCATCGGACACATTTTCATACCAATCCAAAGTCTCAACAACACTGTCGCCTTAAGACATTCATCGCAACACATCCATTCTTTTTTGCCCTAACTCTATTGAGTCAAAGTGTACTTTACTATGCTTTCTTGCTATGATTATTTCAGCAATAGTTCTAGTCACCTTTAGTTGTCCGAGATGATGAAGGTGTCACGCCTCCATTAAATTACTCTTAGACCTACCTTTCAAAATGTATCCTCATCCCGACAGGACTGGACGGCAGTTTTGACCTCCAGCGGAGCTTTCTATTCATCCCCAGCGGGACTCGAACCTGAGGGGTGCCAGCCTAAATTAAATTTAATGGAGGCATACGGTCTGTATCAATTCATGCGACCTAGAGTTGCTAGAACTCTTGTTCAAGATTTGCTTTTCAGTAATACGCTTCGCAGGATTGTTTTTCATCATTTTCAGCCATCTTTGGGCTTGGAAAGGCTCGTCGTCTTTCTCGAAAGTGGCTCCCGACAACGGTCGATTGCACTCATTTTCTAATAACAACTTGGCTTAAGGACTGGCATTTGATAGTTTCCCACACAATAAGAAGAATATACCCCACCATGCCATTGAAATTTCCTTAGTCTTCCCCTGAAAAAGGACATCTCATCCAGGCTGGGATGTAATCTCTTTCTCGTACCATCGTTCTTCATCAGCATCCTTGGCTGGATTTGGACTTGTGGAATTAGTATCCTAGCGACGTTACCATTTCACCAGTCATTTTCTTATGGGAAAACTTAGTTACTTTGGCCCTTTAAATCGCCTTAGAATGACCAACTTCTAAGTCAGCAATTAATGATGGTGTTAGTGCCTACTTATGCCGAAAATTAGTAATATCATCCACTGCAGTGACAAACACATGTTTGATTAATTGATAGTCCTTACTAAAAAAATATTATATTGACGAAGTCTGACTTGCTTTAAATGTAGCATCTGCCCCGTGACCAGCTGGCAACCTTTGCTGTGCAGCTGAATGGCAACGTTGCCACATTACTCAGGCCACAGGTTCGAATCCCGTCGGGCGTAGTGATGAGGTACGATGAAGCGAGAAAGAAGCTGCAGTCTAGTAGAATCTGGATGAGATAATCTTTTCGGTTGTAAGATTAAGTGGACTTGGATGGCAGCATGTGGCCTACTCATTTTATTTGGCTAAACTCAACTCACCTTAAGCGTCCAATAGCGACCATGTTCTTACGAAATCTTTTAAATATTCATTTGAGTATATCATTTTTAACTA